AACTTCTTCTAATGCCACTTTTTCAAAATAGATTCACCTAGGACATGGTATTTTGTGGAAGAGCCACATTCAAGGGGCCAAAGAGTCGCATGTGGCTCGAGAGCCGCCATTTGCTGACCATGGTTCTATATAATAAAAGCCTAATATGCAAGTCGACTGAACTGCAGAACAACTGGTGAAACGACCGGTCACTATGACATGCACTGACCACCAGGGGTAGACATTCAATGCAGGAGCTGCCCGCAGTCACAGGCCCCAGAGCAGCCAAGGCAGGTGCCAGACCCCCTCCCCCATCCCATGGACTGCCTGATCAGTCACCCTCTAGGCCCTGATCACTGGCCAGGCCAAATTTTGTATATCAGGCCTCTAGTGTCTTATAAATTGCTAGGCAATCATCTTTGCAACCACACATGTGTCTGACCTCTCCATCCCAGCTCCGATGCTCTTGAGGGGAGAGACAGGGCTCAGCTATATTCTATGGACCAGGTCCAGGCAGCACCTTGGAATTCTGGGGGAATGTTGACTTCTGATGCCTGGAGATGTAGGGTTGCCATTTAAGATATATATGGGATGTCCAGGAGCTGCAGCTTCTTGTCTATAAAATGGCATACTGAGTGCTTCCTCCTTTGTAAAGTGGACACACATTGCTGACAAATGCATTAATAGATACAACTTGGACCCCATTCTATCACAGCAGGAGTTCCTGCCATGTGCTAGGAATTGCCAAGACCTGGCAGAGCTGGGAGGACACTCAGGAAAGCTCTGGCTGAGCTCAGCAGGGCAGGGAAAGTCTTAGAAAAGAACTAGAAGCCCTGGAACTCACTAAGGCCCCTCCCTCTCCTGTAACATCCTTATCTGCGCAGGGAGGTTTGAGTACAGAAAGCCATTGACCCTGCAGGGCTGTGTCTAAGCTGCTGGCACAGAGATACACAGCTGAGTCTCCCAGCTCCAAGGTGCTCATGGCCAGCTCAGAGCTGTAGTTATCGAACTGTTTTCCTGAGAACCGACCGGGGATGTTTCCTTTCTCTCTCTCTGCCTTGTCATAAAAACTAATGAGAAACTCGGGGCCCTGTCCCGGAGCCTGTTGGTACCAGTACACATAGCTGTGTCCGGAGATGGGGTGGCATTTCAGAATGGCCATCCTCCCTTGGCCTTTGATTAGGTGTCTTGGGGTCTGGGTGACTCCAGCAGCCACTGGACCTGTGGAGAAAGCAGACAGAAGCTGGAGACCAGCACAGGAAGCAGATGGACAGGCCAGCAACAATCAACAACTTTCGGTTCAAGGGATGTCCCATCTGACCTCAGGACTCACCTGCCCCCAGAAGACAGAGGGCCATGTAGTAGAGGAGCTGGAGGGCCCTGAAAAATTCAGTCAGAAAAATACTGGCCATCTCCCAGCTCTGGGCTCTGGTGTTTGGGGTGAGAAAGCAGAGGCTTTTGCATCTCCCTTTGCTCTGTTTGAAGGGTTTTCCTGTGATGTCACTGTTCTGATGTCACTATCCTTGTAGGCTCCCAATGGCAACTTGCACTTCCTGGACAGGCTCAACTGGCCCAGGCGTTCCCCTTTCTCTCCATCTTCCTTTGAGCAGGTGCCACTGGCTGTGCTGAGCTGGTTGAGGCAGGGTTTGTGGCAGGTGACCATTATTTCTCTGTTTTCCTTAGAGCAGGTGTTCCTTGCTCTACATGTGATGTGAATTATCCAGGCTGCCCCACTGAAAGATGCTCCATCACACTCTCCACTAAAGATAGGCTTCAAGAGAGAGCTTAACTCCAGGCAAAGCCAACCTCCTGGATCCCTGATGTGACAGCACACCTGCATAGCAGTTCATATGAGAAGATATGATCAGCAAACCTCTGATTCATCAGATAGTCTCCCTGATGTAGAGACTAAACCAAGAGTCTGTCCCTTAACCCTCCCTGTCCCACAGGGCCCCATCAGCAGCCAACTCCGTGGATCCACAGTGCCCCCAGGTGGCCACTTGTGCATTAACAGTGTTGACCCTGCCCAGGCTGGCTGGGTTCTGTCTGAATTAGGAGCAGGACCAGCCAGGACACTGCAAGCTCCTGCTGATGTGAGGTTTACCTATCTCAGCTCATCTTTTGCAGTTGGCACTGAGGGAGGAATGGTGCATTTTTCTAAGAAGGAAACACAAAGTCTAAATCACATCAATGAGTGTTCTGGGAAAGAGGACATGCAGCTGCCCTTGGAAGCGGTAGAGGAAACCTCTCTCTCTCTCTCTCTCTCTCTCTCTCTCTCTCTCTCTCTCTCTCTCTCAAAATATTTATATTGATTTCTGAAAGAGGAAGGGAGAGGGAGAGGGTGAGATAAAAAAAAAAAATCAATGATGAGAGAGAATCATTGACTGGCTGGCTCCTGCACGCCCCCTACGGGAGGTCGAGCCCACAACCTTGGTATGTGCCTTTGACCCTTCAGTCCTCAGGCCAATGCTCTATCCCCTGAACCAAACCATCTAGGGTGAAATGTTATCTTTAACCAAAGGCAATTCCTAGTAAGGACTTACTCAGGATGTAGGAAATTATTCCCTACTTTCCAGCTTTCCCACTAAACACTCCTTAGGTAGCATCCTACCAATTTTAATATGATATATTTTATTTTATTTTAATTAAAATCTCTTCTTAATTTCCCTTTTAGTTTGTTCTTTGCCCCATGGGTTATTTAGAAGATCGTTATTTCATTTATAAATATTTGGGATTTTTTAGAACTCTTTTTTTTTCTCTAATTTAGTTCATCTGCGGTCAGAAAACATGCTTTATAAGACTCAAATTATTTTAAATGTATTGATACTTATTTTATGCCCAAAGTTTATAGCATCCTGGTTCATGGTCCATGTGCAATTGGTAAGAATGTGTATTCTGCTGCTGGTGGGTGAGCTGGTCTATAAATGTGAATTAGGCCAAGGTGATCAATAATGTTTTGATGTCTTCTGTATCCTCACTGATTTTATTGGGGTGTGCGTGTCAAGTTGTTCAATCAGTTACTGACAGGTGTTGAAATGTTTTACTACAATTGTGAATTGGTCTATTTCTCCTTCCTGTTTTTGTTCAATGTTTTGAAGCTCTGTTTTAAATGAAAAAATGTTAATGATTGCTATGTCTTCTTAAATTGGCTCTTTTATCATTAGAACATGAGCTTTGTTATCCCAGATGACATTCTTTGCTCTGAAATTGACTTTGTCTGATGTTATTATTGCTGCTCCAGCTTTCCTGTGCTTAGTGTTAGCCTGGTATACCTTGTTCACTCATTTACTTTTATGTTCTGGGTCTTTATGTTCCTCGTACATTTCTGGTGGGCAGTATACAGTTGTTGATTTTTCAATTTTACTCAAAATCACAGCCTGTGCTTTTTATTTGGACATTGAGACTACTTTGATTTGATATGACTATTGATCTAGTTTTTAGTATGTATTATGATTTTGCTATTTGCTGTATTAACCTCATCTTTTGATTTTTTTCTCTTTACTTCTCTTTATGTATTCTTGTGTATTAACTGAACACTTAAATAATTCATTTTTTTTCTTTTTTCGTTGACTTATTAATTATGACTCTGTGTTTGTTATTTTGGTGGTGGCTCTAGGGTTTGCAATTCACATATCTGCTTTAACATAGTCTACCTTCAAGTGATATTATACCACCGGACATAGATTAGGAAAACTTCACAATGGTAAGATATTTGTCTATTTATCTACTCTCTGTCTTGCTATTGTTTTTACATACAGTATTCCCACCTTACATGCAGTTTCACTTTCTCCAGTTTCGGTTACCAGCAGTCAAGCACTGTTCAGAATTATTAATGGTCAATTCCAGAAATAAACAATTCCCAAGTTTTTACTTGAGCACCGTGCTGAATAGCCTGATGTAATCTTGTGCCGTCTCCTTCCACCCCAGGTGGGACATATGCCATCCTTTTTCTACCGTATCGAGCCTGTGTGCACAGCCCGGTGATAGACGCTTTATAGCTGTCTCTGTTATCACACTGAGGGCAGTAACATCACAGTGCTTGTGTTCTAGTCACCCTTATTTCACTTAAGAGTGACCCAAAGCCCAAGAGTAGTGATGCTGGCAATTCTGACATGCCAAAGAGATATCATAAAGTGCTTCTTTTAAGTAAAAATATGTGCATGTATAAGGTAAAACATATACTGTATATATATATATATATATATATATATATATATATACACTCAAGTAGGGCTTTTATTAAACAAAGCTAAATTTAAAATTTTTAGTAAAAATACATTAGACCCTGCCTGGTGTGTCTCAGTGGTTGTGCCTCGATCCATGAACTTAGAGGTTCCCAGTTTACTTCCATTGGCACATGCTTGGGCTACAGGCTAGATCCATAGTGTGATGGTTTGCTGGAGGCAGCCAAATGATGTTTCTCTCCAATCAATGCTTCTATCTCTCTCTCCCTCTTCTTTCCTCTAAATTTCCTTTAAAATGATATTTTTAAAAAAAGATTAAAGAAGAAGACTGCAGAATTGCAGAGTCAATATATAGACATACTTTAACGTGCATTAATGTGCATGACAGGTGCTCCTGGACAATTAATCTCAATGACAGGTCTTACTAAGGGTTCTAATTTATGTATTTTAAGGCTGGTGGCTGCATGGCAGTGCTCTGCATTGGCTGCCCACACAAGAGCTTAATGTGATCTGAGTCAGTGACACTCAGTACAGGGAGTTTATTGTAAATGTGTTGAAATTTTATATTTTACAGAAGATTCCACAATACCTTACACTCAGACTGGGTGCTCAATCTTGTACTGTATAAAGGAATTCCAGAAATCCACAGCCAGAATATTATTACCCAAGGTGACCTCCCTGGCATTTCAAAGGTCATTTCCTGACCTTCCACTATCAGAAAAAACAAAGTCCCAATTCACTTAATCCACTCCTTTGTTAAGGACTCTGGGAACTGTGAGGAGAGGTGAGCACATGAGGGTTTGAGAGCAGGAAGAGGGTGACTCTGCAGCACTGTGGTTAGCTGCTGGCACAGAGGTACACGGCCGAGTCCTGCTGCTCTGCACCCTGGATATTCAGAGTGGAGGAGGAGCTATCAGTCTTCTCTGCAGAGAACCGCTCTTTAGGCATCCCTGATTTGTCTAGGGCCTCCTTGTTTTGGAAGTAAAGCAAAAACTCTGGGCCCTGCCCCAGTGTCTGTCGGTACCAGTAAAGGAAGGTATGTCCAGACATTGGATTACAAGTAAGAGTGACATTCTGTCCCCTCTCTGTGACTATGTGGCTGGGGGACTGGAACACTCCAGCAAATGTGTGACCTGTGGAGACAGATTGGAAATAAAGGACAAATAATTGTAATACATATACACACACAAACACACGGAAAGTGTTTTGCTTTCTGAGGACTCACCTGCCCCTAGGAGACAGAGACTCACCCAGTAGAGAAGTCTGGTGCCCATGGCAGGGTGAGGGCAGGAATGGGCGGTTCACAAGGTCCTTGTGAGAATGAGCAGAGAAAGAGGAACTTCCTTCTCTGCACAGGCAGTTCCCATAGTGACATCACTGATACTAGTTAACTAATTATATCTTCTAAGATTCCAGCAGTTTTGAGATGCCTCATTCATTTAACTACAATAAGAAAGAAAAAAATATTGTCCCTCATAATCAGAAGTTCCTGTTTTTTCTACAGGTCACAACCAAGTGCCTTCACTGTGTTCATTAACCTCCATTTATTTTTATTTCTCTACAGCTCATAGCAATGTCTTATGTCCTTCTTGGTCACCATGCATTTAACAATGTTCCTATAGCTTCTTTCTGGAAGAGGACTCCATTTTATTGACACTAGTGTGATGAGGTGAAAACCTAAAGCAAGGGAAGTATCTTCCCATGTAACAGGCCATCTACAGATGTTAGTCTGATAGATGGCAACAGGGGGAAGTGTGTCTCAGGCCCTGGGCCTGATGCAGATCTGGCAGATAATACTCTGGAGGTGGACTTCACCACACATAGAGATTCAATCTACAGTCTCAGGCCACAGGGGGCTCCGAGGTGTGGAGTTCGCTTAGGGCTCCCCTAAGTCCAGGGTGCAGGGCCTCCTTCTGGCTTTTCGTGCAGAGAGGAGGTGGCCCTGCAATCCTGTGGCTTCACGGCTGGCATAGAAGTACTCAGATGTCTGGAAGGGCGTCGCCGACTCCAGTGTGAGAACAAAGTACTCTGTATTTGATCTAGAGACAACAGACCCATCAGCACCGTCTCCTATGGCAGTGATCCCAGCTCCAACTGAGTAATAGATCAGCCTCAGTTCATGGCTCAGGTCTTGGCGATACCAATACATAACTTCGTGGTTGTTAGTCTGGTGACAACTCAGTGTCACATTCTTTTCTGTCTCCACAACCTTGTAACTTGGGCTCTGGGTGATTCGGGCATCCAGGTGTCCTGTAAAGAAAGCCACAGACCTGATGTTGTCATCCTAAGACAAAGGCTTAGGCTGAGAGGTCTGGGGTATCCAGGGCAGGAAGCCCACCTATACTCACCTGCCCACAGGAGACAAAGAGCCACATAGAAGCAGAGCCTGGTGACCATTTCAGGGCAGAATCTCATGTCTTCCTGTTCTGTTTTGAGAAAATAGATTGAGTGATGTCACTGTCTTTGATAAAAGCTTGAGCTGTAGAGTTAACCTGCCACACCCCTTCCCCACAGGAACAAATCAATGATCCTCTCAGTTACAGGAACCACCGGATGTCCAGGAAGTTTTCAAAGCCCCAAGGTCAGGGTCATTGGGATCTGAAGACTTGTTTTATGTTGTTTCACAATTCACTGACTGATGGGAGCCCTGCTGAGGTCTTTTCATGCTCATGGGTGAGAGTTCTCCCTTGATTTCAGCTGAGGCCATGGAAGACTGTTTTACCTGCAACCCTGTGACCGTGCTTTTTGTGAAAAAGAGGAAGCTGGTTAGCAATGTGGATGAGCTACTCAGCCTGAGCTACATACTACTTCTTATGTATCCAAGAAGGTCTTGCACCCACCAAACTGGAGAATATTGATTGATTCATAAATGTGTTACAGTGCCAAGCTTGCAGCTAGTCAATATTAGGAAGAGCTTCTGTTTCTTGTATGGGTTATATTTCAGTGTGAGGTCACCTATTTCTGTGAATGCATATATTGATGTCATCTCAATGGGCAAATAATAATCACACAACAGTAAGAACATCGAATTAGAAATCAGAGGCAAGGAGGAGATTGATGCATCATCACCTGAAAAGGCTTCCAGCTTGGAGCCTGGCCAACTCAGGAAGGGCCCTTGGATCTTATCCAGGACTTAACTGGTCCCAGGGGAATAAGAGACACGCAGCAAAAAAGCCTACTTTCTAGGCGGGGCCAATGCGGAAAAAAAGAGTTTTCAGCTAGGACTCACATTGTTTGGGTTAGATCACATGAAATCCCAAAGATCTGTGGACTGTTCTCATAAGAAGGTATCATCTACCCATATTATTAGTATATTCTCAATGATACCTTAATTTCTTTCAGGAGATAAACATTTACCAAGAATAGTTCCTTTGCGATTCTCGTCTAATTAATGAATGAGAGTCGCAAATTTGATGTTGAATAAAAATGTCCCTCATTAGAAAGCTTTTTTGTTCTCTTTATGTTCTTGCACATTTTCGCCAAGATCCTGAATAAGGCATGTACATGGTAAGTAGTGAAGACTGGATAGGCCATGGAGACAATGAAGAATAATTTTAGGCCTTCTCATTTGCACGGAAACTGTTCATAACTTTTAAATATTTTCCTATTTTCTTTTTAGAAAAGCACCATAAATTTTTATAAGCATATATTCCCATCAAGTCCAAGCTACTCTGTATGTGTAATCAATTAGTGTTTCTTGAATGAAAGGAATGAATAGTTATCAGAGTCCAGACAGACACCACTTCTGTATACATAACCCAGTCTAGCCAGTTACGAATAGTTCAGAGCTTGAAGGGAGCAGAGACACATGTGACTCTGCTGGTTATTCAAAATAAGACAAAGTGAACAGGAAATTTTTTATTTATACTTGCTATTATAAGACTTTTTGAATGTTTGGATGGCAGAATTAATTAAATAAAAATGACAGTCTCTTGTAAAGTGATGGGTCCTTTGATGGTCACTTCCTTCCATCGCTGTCACCATTTAGGCTGCCTCTGGAGGCACAGTCTAAGATGAGGATTTAGATGCAAGTAATCTCTAGAAGCATGAGTAAGAGAGCAGGGAGGAAAGGTCATGGAAGGAGAAAATCAGAATAAGGTACAATATTGCCGTTGTGCTTGGACATCAGGAGATGTGCTTTGTTGGAACCTGCAGAGAAGCACACTGACCACCTACTGAGCTGTCCTGGACACAGAGGCTGAGCTTTCATCCCTGGCTCCTTTCTCTCCAGGGGAGTTAGCACTTCTGCAGCTCTGACTGCACTGATGTGCAAGTCACATGGGATCCCATGATAAAGAGGAGGCCAGAACAGAAAGCTGAGGGACTCCCAGCCTGCAGGTGAGGAGGTGCTGTCAGAACCAGGTAAATGCACACAAACTTGCATGTAATTGTTCACTGCAGCTGAGGCTAATACCAAGGTGGGATGGATGGATTGGCACTAGAAGTTCCACTATGATGGTCTCTCTTCACACAAACTTCTATCATCTCCTCTGTGTGATCACCAATCTCAGAAGCCACAACTTTCTAGAAGCACCACATCTTCTTGTACATCAGACTTAACATCAAACAGGAAGTGCTGTCCTATTTAATTTTCTCTGAAGAGGCACCTTGATTTCACTTAATAAATTATCAGATAACAGTATTTGCATTTCAGAGGAGTGTCTATCTGAACCATAGATGAGTCAGTTAAAGTAACCCATGGCTGCCTTTGATCCCAGAACTTCACATAGTAAATAATCGTGCTAGACTAGAGATCAGTCACAGTGTTTATAGAGTACAAAGAGGACTTGAGCCTATATTATTTATTAAGCAATTTGTTGTATTTGCTTGTGCATTATTCACCCCAGTTTACAAATATAAAAACTCAAACAAACAGTTTCTAAGTCACCATTTCAAGGCAGGTCAGAATATGAACAGACAGGTCTGGGAAGCTGGATCTCTTTCCTCTTCAGCAGGTCCCCTCCCAGGTGAAAGCTGTTATGCAAACGATGTGTGTTAGTGCCTGCATTTCTGAAAGGGACGTTTGGGCCCATGTTCTGATTTTGAAGATGCCTCTGTCTAGCAAATGCAAAAGGGTGGGTGATTGAAAGCATAGGTGGAAGTCAGTATCGTCCATGTTTGAGTTCCAATTCTGATATTTGTTAGCTTCACCACCTGAAGCCAAGTATCCAAACTCTCTTACAATCATTATTTTCACTTGTAATGTGGGTAATATATGCTGTCTCACAGAAAATGTGCAATGAATAAGGTGATTGAATTAAATGAACAAAATGTGTGGAATTAAAGTCATCTGCATTGACCAATAAAATTGTACACCAGTCTATAAATGTCTACATCATTCATTTAATAACTTTGATGCTCAGCTGTTTTCTGAAGTTTCTGTCCTGGGCAGAAGTAGGAATTTAAGATGTTCTGATGGAAAATGGGGGCAAGCTAAGACCCTCCCATCTTCACACCTTTCCGTAGTTTAGAAACACTGATCCCCTGCAGTAACTCCCAGAATCCTGCCTGAAATTCCTATTGGGCTTCTGTTTTCTTGGTGAATCTTCTGCTAATCTGGAAATTGCCCTAGTTACTTAGCTCATTTATTAGGGGGACATAATGTCATCCCTCCATGTGAACTAGGACAGGACAAATGCACATTCTCTGTGGTAAAGTTTTGTGTCCTAAAGTTAGATAGTAATAAGTTGTGTATCCCCACATGATGGATGACCTCCCCCATCCCAGCTTAGAGGCTCTTGAAATGGGAAAGTAAGAGCTCTGTTATATCCTACTAGAGGCCTGGTGCATGAAATTTGTGCATGGGTAGTGATCATGGCCTGGCCATTGATCAGGGTCTATCTGTGCGGCAACCAGCGAGGCTCTGCCTTGGCTGGCCTGGTGTAACCCACTCGCTGGTCCTTGCTCCCACCACTGCCTCAGGTCGCCTCCCTCTGCAGGGTGACCAGTGGGTGATCACAGGGACACCCCCCCCCCCTTCTACTGGCAGCCTCTTTGGCTAGCCTAGGGCCTGCAGGCTGGAAGCAGCTCCTGTGTTGAGCATCTGCCTCGTGTGGTCAATGCATGTCATAATTACCAGTTGTTCTGTCATGCATTCCCCATTCAGTCAATTTGCATATTCAAGCTTTTATTATATAGGACTAGAGGCCCGTTGCAGGAAGATTCCTGCAATTAGGGCTTCCTTCAGCGGTCTGCTTCCCTCCCTTTGCCACCACCCCGCCTGCTTCATTCCTGCCCCACTTGCTTCTCCGCAGCTTCACTTGGCTTTCTTCTACATTGTCTTCAGTCTTTGCTCTGTGCCTAGATATGCAAATTAACCATCATCATGGTTGAGTTATTTTGCATACTTGCTCCTGATTGGCTGGTGAGCATGGCTTGTGGGCATAGTGGAGGTATAGTCAATTTGCATGTTCCACTTTTTTTTAGATAGTAGGGCCAAGCCCAGGAAGTATCATGGAATTCTAGGGCTAATGTTGATTTTGGAAACCTGGAGATGCAGGGTTGACATATATGATATATTCAGAATGTCCAGGATCTGCAGCTTCCTGCCTATAAAATGGTATATTGAAAGCTTCTTCCTCTGTAAAGTGGACACACATTGTTTTCAATGCATTAGCACACACAACATGGACCCCACTCCATCACAGCAGGAGTTCCTGCCATATCCTAAGAAGTGCAAGGTGCTGGCAGAGCTGGGAGGACACTCAGGAAAGCTCTGGCTGAGCTCAGCAGGGCAGGGAGGATGTTGCAAAAGAAGCTAGCCCTATAACTTGCTAAGGCCCCTCTCTTTCCTGTGACATCCTAATCTGGGTCAGGGAGGTTTGAGTGCAGAAAGCCATTGACCCTGCAGGGCTGTGTCTAAGCGGCTGGCACAGAGATACACAGCTGAGTCTTCCAGCTGCAAGGTGCTCATGGCCAGCTCAGAGCTGTAGTTATCGAACTGTTTTCCTGAGAACCGATCAGGGATGTTTCCTATCTGTCTCTCCTTCTTTTCATAATACTCAATGAGGAACTGCGGGCCATGTCCCAGAGTCTGCTGGTACCAGTACACACTGCTGTGCCCAGAGATGGGGTGGCACTTCAGAACGGCCTCTGCCCCACGACTTTTGATTAGATGTCTTGGGGACTGGGTGACTCCAGCAGCCACTGGACCTGTGAAGGAAGGAGACAGAAACTGGAGACCAGCACAAGAAACAGATGGACAGGCCAACAACAGTCAAGAACTTTGGGTTCAAAGGATGTCCCACCTGAACTCAGGACTCACCTGCCCCCAGAAAAAAGAGGACCATGCAGCAGAGGAGCCGAGGGGCCCTCGAAGATTCAGGCAGGGCAAGACTGGTCATCTTTCAGCTCTGGGCTCTGGTGTTTGGGGTGAGAGAGCAGAGGGTTTGCCTCTCCCTTTGCTCTGTTTGGAGGGCTTGCCTGTGATGTCACTGTTCTGATGTCACTGTCCTTGTAGGTTCCCACTGGAAGCCTGCACTTCCTAGACATGTTCAGTTGGCCTAGGCATTCCCCATTCTGTCCATCTTCCTAGCAGTAGGTGCTCTGGCTGTCCTGAGCTGGGCCAGGCAGGGTTTGTGGCAGGTAACCATTTCCCAGCTTCTCTGTTTCCTAGGAGCAGGTGCTTCTCACTCTACCTGGCTTGAAATATCCCCGCTGCCTGACTGAAGGAAGTCCCATCACACTCTCCACCAAACATATGCTCCAAAAAAGAGCTTAATTCCAGGCAAGGCCAAATTCATGGCTCTCTTATTTGACAACACACCTGCATAGCAGTTAATGTGAGAAAATATGATTAGCAAACCTCTGATTCATTAGACAATCTCCCTGATGTAGGGACCAAGCCAAGATTCTCTCCCTTAACTCTTTCTCTTCCAGAGGGCCCCATCAGCAGCTCACTCCATGGATCCACAGTGCCCTCAAGTGGCCACTTGTGCAGTAGTGGTGTTGACACTGCCCAGTGCTGTCAACACCAGTGCTTTTTTAAAATAATTGATTTTTTTAACTTTTAAATTATTGATTTGTAGGAAATATTTATATTTTGAATATATATATATATATATATTTCATATTTTTTTTCTTAATGTATCTTGTTGAACAGGATTTTAAAACTTTTAATAAAGAAAAATATTCTTTTTAAAGATCAGAATATTTTTGGTCCTCTCAAAAACATTTTTGCCTACTCCAAGGTCATGAAAAGAACTTATTCAGCTCTCTCTCAGAAGCTTTATTGAGAGTGTTGATCCATCTCATATTCATTTCTGCTTATGGAACTATCAGCAAACTTTTTCTGGAAAGGGTCAGATGGTAAAGATTCCAGTTTTTTGTTCCAGCTCCCCAACTCTGCCCCTGCAGTGCCAAAGAGCCAGAGACACTGCACTCATGAGTGAGCGTGGCTGTGCTCCAATAAACTTGGTGTATGGATACCAAAATCTGAATTTTATATTATTTTCCTATTGTCACAAATATTATTTTTTCAATTTTTTTCAACCATGTATGTGAATATCATTTGTTAGCTTCTGGCCCATTTAAGAACAAGTTAGAGGCCAGATTTTGCCCACTACTCATAAATAATGAGATTTATTATTATTTTTTATATGCAAACAGTTTTTCCAGCATCATTGTTGAAATTACTATTTCCCTCCTTTTTTGGTACTTTTAGTGTTTGATCTAGAGATAACAACATGCATCTTTACCTTACCCACAAAAATGTCTATTAACCATAGATTTTTCATAAATACCCTTGATTAGGGAAGGATGTTTCCAATTATTTCTGATTTACTGAGTTTTTACCTGAAACATATGTTGAATTGTATAAAGTGTTGTGTTATTTTTTTTTTTGAGCATCAATAGAGATAATCATATAACCTTTCCTTTTTCTTTTTTCTTTTTTTTTTTTTTAGTATTTGAGAATTTAAATTACATTTCATTTTTTTTTGTTTGTTTTTTCTGTTTTGTTTTGTTTTTTGACATAGAGGAAGGGAGAGAGTTAGAGTGCTAGAAACGTTGATGAGAGAGAAACATCGACCAGCTGCCTCTTGCACGCCCCCTACCGGGAATGTGCCTGCAACCAATGTACATGCCCCTGACCGGAATCAAACCCGGGACCCTTCAGTCCACAAACCAATGCTCTACCACTGAGCCAAACCGGTTTCAGCTGTATTTTTGAATGTTAAACTGGCTGTACATTGCTTAAGTAAACACCATACTAGGTGAAGAGGCATTATTCTCTGTAGATATTGTTCTATTTGATATATTGGAATTCTAAAAGGATTATTAATCTGTGTTTTAGAGGTATATTGCCCTGTAGGTTTTGGGTGGTTTGTTTATTTATTTATTTGTTTGTTTGTTTGTTTGTTTTGGCAATAAGTGCCTAATGGTGTTAAATAACCCACCATTAGGCACTTAGTAGCCATCTAGATTGGTTTTATCACATTGATTATAGCAGCATCACAGTGCTGGTGTTCTAGTGAACCTTTTTTCACTTAATAGTGGCCCCAAAGAGCACAAGAGTAGTGATGCTGGCCAATTCTAACATGCCAAAGAGATGTTATAAAGTGCTCCCTTTAAGTGAAAAGGTATGCATGTGTAAGGTAAACAGTATATATAAGGTTTGGTACAATCAGTGGTTTCAAGATCCACTAGGGTCATTGAAAAGCATACTCCAAGGATAAGGGGGGAACCACTGTAACTATTATTCAGATCTTCTTTGGATCAATTTTAACACTGTCTCAAGTAGGGTTTTTATTAAACCAAGCTAAATTTAAATTTCTATTAAAAATAGATTTGAAAAGAGGAATACATGTTTGCCTGAAAAAATACTAAAACAATATATGGATGTACACTAACCGGCATTATTGTGGCTGACAAGTGCTCCTGGATAATTATTTCAATGGCAATTCGTATATATTATTGATTTCAGAGAGAGGGAGAGAGAGGAAAGGAATAGAAACATTGATGAGAGAGAATCATTGATTGACTGCCTCTCGAGCATACCTCCCTCAGGATCTAACCCATAACCTGGCTGTATGCCCTGACTATGAATCGAACCAGTGACCTATCAGTTCCTGGGTCAATGTTCAACTACTGAGACACACTGGCTGGGCTCAATGACAGTTCTTACTGAGGATTCTAATGTATATTTTTTTAAGGCTGCTGACTGCATGTGGCCTTGGCAGTGCTCTGTTTGGTGTGGTCTGAGTCAGTGACACTCAGTACAGGGAGTTTATTGTATAAGTGTTGAAACTTTCTATTTTACAAGAGAAGATTTCACTATACCTGACACAGCCTGAGTGCTCAAGCTCTATTGTAGAATCTTTGAACTGTTTAATGGAATCCCAGAGCTCCACAGCCAGAATAATATTATTATTATTTATATAATTATTATATAACTATTAATTACATATCTAATATAATTATTAAATAACTAGTAATTAAATAGTAGTATTTTAGGCTCCGTAGCTCAGGGGTTAGAGCACTGGTCTCGTAAATAGTAGTATTTTGAAGGTCATTTCCTTACCTCCCACTATCTGAAAAACAATTAAAGTCCCAAACACACTTATCCCCCTTGATAAGGGAAGAAGAGAGCCACTTGTTTGTTCTGGGACTCTGGGAACTGTGAGGAGAAGTGAGCATATGAGGGTTTGAGAGCAGGAAGAGGGTGACTCTGCAGCACTGTGGTTAAGCTGCTGGCACAGAGGTACACGGCCGAGTCCCACTGCTCTGCACCCTGGGTCTTCAGAGTGAAGTAGGAGCCATCAGACCTCTCAGCAGAGAACCGCTCTTTAGGCATCCCTGATCTGTCTGTGGCCTCTTTGCCTTGAAAATAAATAAAAAACTCTGGGCCCTGCCCCAATGTCTGTTGGTACTAGTAAAGATCCAGAAATTGGATCACAAGTGAGAGTGACATTCTGTCCCCTCTCTGTGACTCTGTGCCTGGGGGACTGAGACACTCCAGTTTTGGTATGACCTGTAGAGACAGAAGTTGGGGCTAGAGAGAGGAAAAACAATAGTAAACATCTCTCTCTCTCACACACACACACACAGACACAGATAAACTTTTGTCCATAGTTAAAGTGAGTATTTTTAAGGACTCATCTGCCCCTAGGAGACAGACGGTCACCCAGCAGAGGAGCCTGGTGCCCATAGCAGGGTCAGGACAGGAATGGCAGGTTTACTAGGTCTGCATACTGTGAGCATAGGCAGAGGAGGAGGGGCATCCCCTGTCCCCACAAGACAGTTTCCATAGTGACATCATTTTTTCTTTCAATCCCTTCATCCTCAGGGACATGTGATGTATATTATAACACCCTTGGGTAACTAATTTGAATATTTATAAGCACCTTTTTCAATAAATTCAATGCATGGCTATCTCTTTGGACTCTTGTGTTCTCTACATGCAGAGGTCTCACTGCATTTCTAAGCTTTTCTTCTCAATCACCAACCAGTCCAGTCCCCTGGTATTTTCAGTAAAACGGAAACAACATCAATACCAGATAGCAAAGAGTGAATTCACTGTCTTATCTGTAAATCAGGATCTCCTGTGAGCATCCCTGTTTCTGTCACCATACCTTCCTCTCTGCCAGTCACACATGCTCAACCTTATCCATTTCTTAGACTAGAGTGGGCATTGGGCATTGGGCATTGACTTGGCTTTGCCTTGAAATGCACTGACATTCAGAGTTATGAGAAAAAAAATTATTCCCTGGGAAAGTGTCTGAATTGAAAACTCTTACTCTTTCTGCACGTCATGACCAAATGCCCATTCTATGTTCATTACCCTCCATGTCATTTTATGGCTCTATAGCCCATACTAACGCCTTCTGTCCTAGGTCACCATGCAGTAAGCTATAGTTTTCTATAACTTCTTTGTGGAAGAAGATTCCACTTTGTTGACCTTTAAGACACTAGTGCATAATAATATACAAGGGGGTTGGAATAGATGTCATTTATACTTGACTTTCCACTCTGGAGGCATCAGTCTCAAGCTGATGAGGTGAAAAATCTAGAGCTGGGAAGCACCTTCCTAGCTAATGGGGTAGCTGCAGAGAACAGACTAACAGACGGCAAAAGTGGGGAGTGTGGTCAACACCTGTCAAAAACTACCCAGAAGGTGGTCGTCCACATACACAGAGGTTCAACCTGCTGACAAGGGCCACTGGGGGCTACCCAGTGCAGGGGTTTGTGAGTCCAGGGTGCAGGGCCTCTCCCTGCCTTTTGTACTGAGAGGAGGTGGCCCTGCAACCCTATGGCTTCTTCACTGCTGCCACAGAAGTACACAGATGTCTGTGAGGGGGCTGCGGATTCCAGTGTGAGGACAAAGGTCTCTTTATTTTGTCTAAGGACACTATAGCAACATCGCCTTTAGCGGTGATCCCAACACTAATAAATCATACTCAGCCCATGGCCCAGGTCTTGGTGATACCTATACATAACAATGTGATTATTAGTCTGGTGACAACTCAGTGTTGCTTCTTTTCTGCCCCTGTGACCTTGTATCCTGGGCTCTGGGTGATTCGGGTATCCACGTTTCCTATAAAGAGAGAGCCACAGACTTGATGTTGTCATCCTAAAACAAAGGCTTGGACTGAGGTCTTGGGTATCCAGGGCAGGAAGCCCACCTGTACTCACCTGCCCACAAGAGACAAAGAGCCACCCAGAAGAGCCTGGTGACCATTTCAGGTCCAAGGCAGAATCTCATGTCTTCCTGTTCTGTTTTGAGAAAATAGACTCAGGGATGTCACTGTCCTTGACAAATGCTTGAGCTGTAGAGCTAACCTGCTTCACCCCTTCTCCACAGGAATAAATCAGTTATCCTATTTTATTCTAACCACCTGATGTCAAGGCCCCAAGGTCAGGGTCATTGGAATCTGAAGACTTGTTTTACATTGTCTCCCAATTCACTGACTGATGGGAGCCCTGCCATCTATGCTCAGGTCTCTGCCTGCTCATGGGTAAGAGTTCTCCCTTGGTTTCAGCTGAAGCCACAGAAGACTGTTTCACCTGCAACCCTGTGACTGTGCTTTTTGTGAAAAAGAGGAGGCTGGTTATTAATGTGGATGAGCAATTCAGTCTGAGCTACACACTTCTTACATCTCCAGGAAGGTCTTTCACCCACCAAATAGGAGAATATTGATTGAATCATAAATGTGCTACAGTGCCAAGCTTGCAGCTAGTCCATCAGTACATGCTTCTATTTCTTATACAGGTTATATTTCAGTCTGAGGTGACCCCATTTCTGTAACTATATATCTTGATGTCATCTCAATGGGCAACTATAATCACACAACAGTGACAAAGGACATGAAGTAAGAAATCAGAGGCGAGGAGAAGATAAATGGTCATCACCTGGAAAGGCTTGCAGCTGGACACCTGGTAAACCCAGGAAGCTTATCCAGGACTTCATTGTTCCCAGGGCACCAAGAGTCACAGAGCAAAGCAGCCTACTTTCTAGGCGGGGCCAATGCGAAAAAGAGGAGTTTTTCAGCAAGGACTCGCATTATTTGGGTTAGAGTACATGGATCCCAGAGATCTGTGGACTGTTCTCATAAGAACATATAATCTTTCCATTTTGTTAGCATTCTCAGTGATACCCTAATTTCTTTAGGGAGATATACATTTACTAGGAATAGTTCCTATGCCATTCTCTTTTAAATTAGTGAATTAGAATCACAAATTTTGTGTTGATTAAAAAAAAAAGATGTCATCAGAAAGTATTTTTCTTGTCCTTGTGTTTTTGCACTGATTTTTCCCATGCTCCTGGATAATGCCTGTGCATAGTAAGTAGTGAAGGCTGGATGGGCCGTGCAGGCAATGAAGAATAATTTCAGGCCTTCTCATTCTCACAGGACCTTTCCAAGACTTCTGAATCTTTTTTTCTTTCCTTTTTAGTAGAGTACCTTAATAATATACAAGCATATATCCACTCTTTACCTGATTCACTTAGGGTTCGTTGAATGAAAGAAATGAAAGGTTTTCAGAGACCAGGCAGACTCCACTTCTATAAAGATAACCAAGTCTAGTCAGTCACAAAGAGGTTCAGAGCTTGAAGGGAGCAGAGACCCTTGTGAATCTGTTGAGAATTAAAAATAAGCTAAAGTAAACTGGGGGAAATCATTTATATCTGATATTGTAAGACTTTTTGAGAGATAGGATGGCAGAATGAATTAAACAAAAATAGCTGTGTCTTCCAAAGAGATGGGTCCTTTGATGGTCACTTCCTCCCATCACTGTCACCATATAGCCTGCCCCTGGAGGCACAGTGTGAGACACAGACATAGATCAAGTAGTTTATTTTGGAAATGATCTCAGGAAGCAGGAAAAAGAGAGCAAGGAGGGAGGAACCAGGAAGGAGAAAACCTAAATAAGGTGCAATATCACAGTTGCATAGAGACATCAGGAAATGGATTTATGGATTTTATTGGAACCCGCAGAGATGTACACAGACCACCTCCTGAGCTGATCTCCTGAATTCAGAGGCTGAGGTTTCATCCCTGGCTCCTTTCCCTTCTGGAGAGTTAGCACTTCTGCAGCTCTGACTGCCCTGCTGTGCAGGCCACCTGAGCTCCTAGGATAGAGAGGAGGCCAGAGCAGAAAGCTGAGGGACTTCCAGCTGGCAGGTGAAGGGATGCTGTCAGAACCAGGTAAACGCACACAAACTTGCATGTAATTATCCACTGCAGCAGAGGCTGATACCAGACGTGGGCCGGGAATGGATGGATGGCATCTATCCATTATGATAGTCTCCACTATGATGGTCTCTCTTCACACAAAACCATCCCTTCCATCAGCTCTTCTGTGTGATCAACAGTCACTCTGAAGCCACAACTTTCTGGAAGCACCACACCTTCTTGTACATCAGACTTAACATCAAACAGGAAGTGCTGTCCTGCGTCCCCTTTACATTTTTCCCTTAAGAAGCAGTCACTATAGTAAATCTCACCCAATAAATTATCAGATAATAATATTTGCATTTCAAAGAAGTTTCTGTCTGAGCCATAGATGAGTCAGGCAAAAGTAACCATGCCTGCCTTTTATCCCAGAACTGCACATAGTAAATAATTGTGCTACACTAGATATTTGTCACAGTTTATAGAGAACAAAGAGGACTTGGGCCTATATTTTTATTACACAATTTTTCATATTTCCTTTTGTTAAATCATTACAAAACACCCATTATTGGCCCCAGTTTACAAACGCAAAACTCAAACAAATATTTTCTGAGTCACCGTCCCAAGGCAGGTCAGAATATGAATAGACAGGTCTGGGAAGCTGGATCTCTTTCCTCTTCAGCAGGTCCCCTCCCAGGTGAAAGCTGTTATGCAAACGATGTGTGTTAGAGCCTGCATTTCTGAAAGGGACCTTTGGGTCCATGTTCTTGTTTTGAAGATGCCTCTCTCTATCAGATGTAGAAGGGTGGGGTGACTGAAAGCATGGGTGGAAGTCAGTATGGCCTATGTCTGTGTCTCAATTCCGATATTTGTTAGCTGTACCTCCTTTAGCCAAGTATCCAAATGCTAACAATCAGTGTCTTCACTTGTAATGTGGGTGATTTGTGCTACCTCACAGAAAATGTGCAATAAACAAGGTGATTGAATTAAATACACAAAATGTGTGGAATTAAAGTCATCTGGTTTCACCAATCAACTCTGTACCCTAATCTGTAAATGTCTGCATTATTCATTTAATAGCTGTGTTGCTCAGGTGTTGTCTGCAGTTTCTGGCGTGGGCAGAAGAAGCAATTTCAGATGTTCTGATAGAAAGTGGGGGCAAGCTGAGACCCTCCCTCCTCCATACCTTCCAAGTTTAGAAACACTGATCCCCTGTAGTACAATAACTCCTAGAATCTGGCCTGAAATTCCTAGAGGGCTTCTGTTTTCTTGGTGAATCTGAAAGCCCCCCAGAGGGAGACCCTCACTCTGTCCCACTGATAGACGGCGACCCCAATCAACCGCAGGAGTCGTCACTTGATGCAAACAGCAAGAGGCTTTATTCCAGCGCGCTGGGGCTCAACTCATAACTCACGCAGGAGCAGAGGAGTCGAGCCCCGAGCAGAAAATCTCACAAGCTTATAAAGGCAAAAATCACATATCGGGAGGGGGCACTTATGGAGGGGGAAGAAGGGAACTAAGCCACTAGGGAATTCCAAAGGGATTTGGGCTCATTGATAACGTGTTTTATGACAGGGCTTAAGCTTAGTCAACAGTCCCATCTGGTAATCTCATATCCTGTTTTTCTTAACTATTAGAGCCCTGTGTTGCTTTGTTAGCCCTTAGCTCGGGGCTGTTTCCTGGAACAGTCTTAAAGGTTATGTTCCCATCACTGGCAGGGGACCTTAGGGGGTTGAGATAAAACAGATGGTTTTTAGACATTTTATTCTTTCAAATCTTCTGTTAGTTTGGAAATCACCCTAGTCACTTAGCTCTTCTATTAGGGGACCTCATGGCCTCCCTCTATATAAACTAGGACAGGATAGAGGCACATTCTGTGACATGAAGCTCTGTGTCTTAGAAGTTAGCAGGTAATCAGCTGTGTAACCCCAAATGATCTGTGACCCCTCCCCCCCATCCCATTTCAGATGCCCTTGAAATGGGAGAGTCACAGCTCTGTTCTATTTTATGAACCAGACCCAGGCAGCACCATGGAATTTTGAGCAATGTTGACTCTGGAGGCCTGGAGATGTATGGTTGACATATGTGAAATATTTGAGATGTCCAAGGGCTGAAACTTCCTGCCTATGAAATGGTATACTGAGTGCTTCCTCCTCTTTAAAGTGGATACACAATGTCTACCATGCATTAGCACACACAACATGGACCCCCACTCCATCACAGCAGGAGTTCCTGCCATGTGCTAGGAATTGCAAGGTGCTGGCAGAGCTGGGAGGACACTCAGGAAAGCTCTGGCTGAGCTCAGCAGGGCAGGGAGGATGTTGCAAAAGAAGCTAGCCCTATAACTTGCTAAGACCCCTCCCTCTCCTGTGACATCCTCTTCTAGGACAGGGAGGTTTGAGTACAGAAAGCCATTGGCCCTACAGGGCTGTGTCTAAGCTGCTGGCACAGAGATACACAGCTGAGTCTCCCAGCTGCAAGGCACTCATAGCCAGCTCAGAGCTGTAGTTATTGAACTGTTCTGCCGAGAACCGATCAGGGATGTTTCCTTTCTTTCCCTCCTTCTTTTCATAAAAACTAATGAGGAACTTGGGGCTCTGGCCCAGAGCCTGCTGGTACCAGTACAGATAGCCGTGTCCGGAGATGGGATTGCACTTCAGAATGGCCTTTTCCCCTTGGCCTTTGATTAGGTGTCTTGGGGACTGGGTGACTTCAGAAGCCATGTAACCTGTGGAGGAAGCAGACAGAAGCTGGAGACCAGCACAGGAAGCAGATGGACAGGCCACCAACAGTCAAGAACTTTGGGTTCAAGGGATGACCCACCTGAACTCAGGACTCACCTGCCCCCAGGAGACAGAGGGCCACGCAGCAGAGGAGCCAAGGGCCACTGGAAGATTCAGGCAGGACAAGACTGGCCATTTTCCCACTCTGGGCTCTGGTGTTTGGGGTGAGAGAGCAGAGTATCACTTTGCTCTGAGTGGAAGACTTGTCGGTGATGTCACTGTTCTGATGTCACTATCCTTGTAGGTTCCCACACAATCTGCACTTCCTGACAGGTATAGTTGGTCTAGACCAGTGGTGGGCAAACTGCGGCTTGCGAGCCACATGTGGCTCTTTGGCCCCTTGAGTGTGGCTCTTCCACAAAATACAACATGCAGGCGTGCACATATAGTGTTATTGAAACATCATGGCCCATGCGCAGAAGTCTGTTTTCTGCTCTCAAAAGAAATTTCAATAGTTGTACTGTTATTTGTCTCTGTTGACTAATGAGTTTGCTGACCACTGGGCTAGACTTTCTGCCCATCTTCCTATGAGCAAGTGCTGCTGGCTGTGCTGAGCTGGGCCAGGCAGGGGTTTTGGCAGGTGTCCATCCTCACAGCTTCTCTGTTTCCTAGGAGCATGTGCTCCTGGCTTGAATTATCCAAGCTTCAGGCTGACGGAAGTCCCATCTCACTCTTCACCAAACATATGCTCCAAAAGAGAGCTTAACTCCAGGCAAGGCCAAACTCATGGCTCCCTGCTGTGACAACACACCTGCATAGCAGTTAATGTAAGAAGATATGATCAGCAAACCTCTGATTCAGTCTTCCTGATGTAGGGACCAAGCCAAGACTCTAACCCTTAACCCTCTGTCTCCCACAGGGCCCATCAGCAGCTCAGTCCCTGGATCCACAGCGCCCTCAAATGGCCGCTTGTGTAGTAGCTGTGTTGACACTGCCCAGGCTGGCTGGGTTCTGTCTGAATTAGGAGCAGGACCAGCCAGGACAATGCAAGCTCCTGCTGATGTGATGTTTACCTGTCTCAGCTCAGCCTTAGCAGATGGTAGTGAGGGAGGCATGGTGCATTTTTCTAAGAAGAAAATTCAAAGTCTATATCTCATCAATGATTGTTCTGGGAGAGAGCTACCATGTATGCAGCTGCCCTGGGAAGGGGTCAAGGCATCTTGGTTGAAGCGTTCTTGTTAACCAAAGATAATTCCTGGGGAGGGCTGACCTTAGGGCTTTACTAGCCAAAAAAAATCTAAGCAGCTGGAAATATACCCTCTATTAAGAGGGAACTGCCTACTTATAGATCTTGGGTGGTTGTTTTGTTCTGTTTTTGACAACTCTTCTGTTTAACTCTTCTGTTCTTTTTTTCAAAATTGAATTGCTTACCTTTTAAGTTATTGATTTGTAGAAATTATTTCTATTTTGGATACTTGCCCTTTCTTAATATCTTTTGATGAACAGGATTTTAAAAATTTGGCAAAGTAAAATGTGCTTTTTAAAAATTAGAATATTTTTGGTTCTATCAAAGAAATCTTTGCCTACTCCAAGGTCATGAAGAGAATTTGTTCTGCTTTCTCTCAGAAGCTTTATAGATAATTGAGAAAGCTGACCCATCTTATATTCATTTTTGTTTATGGAACTACCAGCTAACTTTTTATGGAAAGGATCAGATGGTAAAGATTTTGGCTTTCTGTCCCAACTCCCCACCTCTGACCCTGCAGTGTCAAAGAGCCAGAGACACCACACAAGTGAGAGAGTATGGCTGTGCTCCAATAAACTTGGTGTATGGATACTAAAATCTGAATTTCATATAATTTTCCTATGTTACAAACATTGTTAATTAGCTTCTGGGCCTTATAAGAACAAACAGGCCAGATTTTGCCCACTCTTGGTTTATGGAATGAGATCAGGATAGAGATTATTTTTCATATGCACACAGTTTTCCAGCACTATTGTTGAAATGATTGTTTTCCCCCTTTTTGTGGTACTTTTAGTGTTTGATCTAGAGATCACAACATGCATCTTTATCTTACCTGCAAAAATGTCTATTAACCATAGATTTTTTCATAAATGCCCTTGATTAGGGGAAGAATGTTTCCAATTACTTTTGATTTACTAAGAGTTTGTATCTGGAACAAATGTTGGATTGAATAAAGTATTTTTTTTGAGCATCTATAGAGATGATCTTATGATTTTCCTTTTTTTAGTATTTGAGAGGTTAAACTGCATTTCATATTTTTGAATGTTAAACTCTACATTTCTGAGATAAACCCTTCTTGGTGATGATTTTTTATCCTCTATAGATGTTTTCTATTTGATATGGAATTCTATAAAGTTTATTAATCTGTGTTCCTGAGGTATACTGGTCTATTGGTTTTTTTTGGTGATTTTTTATATGTTAATATCTTGGTCTCATTTGAATAGCATAGTAGTGCTGGCCTCAGTGTGAGTAGGGAATTATTCCCTGTTTTTCAGATTTCCTACTAAGTAATCCTTTAGGGTCATCCTGTCAATTTTAATATGATATACTTTCATTTTAATTTAATTAAAATTGCTTTGTAATTTCCCTTTTGTATTCTTCTTTGCCCCATGGATTATTTAGAATATTGTTATTTCATTTACAAATATTTGGAAGTTTTCCCATACTCTTTCTGTTGGTATCTAATTTAGTTCCTCTATTGTGAAAGAACACACTTTTGAATTATTTTAAATGTGTTGATATTTATTTTATACCCAAAGTCTAAGTATACTGGCCATGGTCCAAGTGCACTCAATAAGAATTTATATTCTGCTGATATTGGGTGATCTGTTCTATAAATGTTACTTGGGCCAACGTGCTCAATGTTATTAATGTTTTCTGTTTCCTCACTAACTTTATTGTGGGGGAGGGTGTCAGATTATTCAACCAATTACTGACAGGTGTTCAAATGTCTGACTATAATTGTGAATTTATCTGTTTTTTCTTACTGTTTTTTCTTCAGGGTTTTAAACTTTCTTTTTAGATCATAAATATTTATGATTGCTATATTTTCTTGATCAATTTGTCCTTTTATCATTAGAATATGAGGTGTTTTTGTTTTTTTTTTTATCCCAGACTATATTCTTTGCTCTGAAACTGACTTTGTCTGATGTTATTATTCCTGCTCCAACTTTCCTGTGCTTAGTGTTAGCATGGTATATCTTGTTCATTCTTCTGTGTCTTTATGTTCATAGGGCAGCATACAGTTATTGATTTTTCATTTTTACTCAAAATCACAATCTATGCTTTTTATTTGGGCATTGATACTACGTTACAGTTGAGGTCTTCACCTTCCCTTTGAGGTCTCCTAATTCTAATCTTCATCCTACTCAATCTCAATTAGAGAGTCCTGTCCTTTTCATGATTTGGGCAACAGTGGGATATGTGTGTATTGGAGGGTGGGGGTATGGATGGGAGATTGTCCCATTTTCCCCTGAGAGCAGTTTGAACTCAAAATTCAAAGCTTCTGGGAATAAAATGGTGTCTCTGGTGAGTTCTGATCTAAGTTTGTTAGGTCCTTCTATTAAATTTGGAGGCAAAACAACAATCTATATTATAAAAACCCAGTGGCCTAACGCCATAAGACCAAAGTCCCGCATGGGTGGGCGGGGCTGTGTGCCTGGGTGGGCAGGGCTGTGAGAATGTCCAGGCAGCGCAGATGGGCGGGGCCACGCGATTTCACAGGCTGGGCTTCTAGTATCCTCTATAAATTCATTTATCTTCATAATGACTTTTGTCCTCACTTCCTTATCAAGATGCCTCCTCTGTTGCTAAGGCAGTTCTAAAATGAATAGATGTCCCCAAATTAAAAGGCTTCATAAATGGGGCTTCTCTTGATCAATGGAGCCTCTGCTGACAGGAACAGCTTTTCTAAGTAGCCACCAAATATGAATTTCATGTTGAATGCTACTGTTCTTCTGCTTATTCAATTACCAGAATATTCCAATAAAGTGCTATTTGCACTTACACACCAACGGGTACACGGGCACACCCCAAGATGATGGACCTTAGTTCACACAGAAGGACACTCTGTTGAGGTTCTCACTGGAACCCCTCAGACTGACATTCCATTGCAGAGGAGTTGAGTGAGAGCATCAGGAGGGGCAAGATTTTCTCCTGGTGAGACAGGGGCCTCAGGAAGGAGTGCCCCACCATACACACACACACACACACACACACACACACACACACACACACACACACTCTATGGCTGCCCTATTTGTATAGAGGGCAACTGGCTGCCCATCGCTGTGTACTGACTGCTGGCACAGAGGACAAAGAGGTCTGGTTGGTGCTGGCCGACTTCAGAATCACAAGAAAATGCTCATTCATGTTACAGGAGACATGGTACCCTTCTATGACTATCCCCTTTGCAAGTGCTGCCAAAACTGCGTGAATAATGCATCAGCCTCAGCCCCTGTCCTGCGTCTTGTTGAAACCAGTATATTACAAAGTGGTACACACCCTGGGAGCATTTCAGGGTCACCTTCTTTCCTGATTATATAATATAATACCTTGGGGGTCTGGGTGATTGCAGCATCCTTGGGGCCTGTTGGAGAAGCAGATGTAGCTAAAGACAAGGCTTGAGGGATAAGCTGGATACTTAAAGAGGTGGGGGGACTGGAGCTGGGACTTTGCAAACCCCTGGCAGAGGTTTCCAGCTGAAAGCAGAGCTCACCTGCTACAAGGAGATGACGCATCACACAGAAGAGGTTGGGGCTCAAGACCAGGTCAGGGCGAGATGGGGCTGTCCCAGCTAAATTCTCTGACCACAGACTGAGAGGGAGCTCAGGGGCCCTTCTCCAGTGGGCAGACAGGTTTTTCTGGGATATAATGGCCTCCCACTCAGCAGAGGCTCCATGGCCCAGGGCTCCTACAGACTTTGCTCAGGTTGAATCAGCAACTCCTCTCGTAGATGTACTAGCTCAGCAGGGCCTGCAGGGGAGATGGGGTATGGCTTGGATGCACTGAGTGTAGGCTTCCCACATTTCTCTGAGACAATTGCTTCTGTCTGCACCTGTCCCTGCCATCAAGGCTGCCTTGCCCAAATCCTTTTACTCTTGATCTCATTAATGTTTAGAGGGACCTCCCACCTCTTTCATAGCTAGAGGTAGCCCTGCAATAACTGAAAA